TTTTGTTTCAAAACAATTGAGAGAATTTTTCGTTGCAATTCTTCCAAACCATGCTTTCTTGATTCTTCCCGAACATCTTTTAGAAAGCAGGAACCCTCAAAGTTGCTAGAGATTTCATCATAAAGACTAGATGCAAGAGTAGTCTTGCCACCACCCCCAAGCCCCCATATGCCTACCATCAGTACACCATCTGATTCCATTTCCATCTTAGATTTCAGATCTTGCAGGCGAGCCTTTATTCCAATTAGGTTTTCATCGTCACTTGAGATTGGCGCACACAATCTATTTGAAATCGTGTCAACAATGTGTTTAATGAATAGAGTCTCGGGCCTGGGTATTGGATATACAAGGAAAATTAACAGATGCTCTAATTGAGAAAACAGGTAATCTGTTCCCTTATTAGATTTAACTAATCGAATAGAACATTTGTAGGACAACCTTATTTTTATCATGCATTTTCCTTGTTCATCACTTTAATACTTCCAGTTATGTGTTTCAAACAGATGATTCCTCCGAATATAGATTTCTTAATGAATTTTTATATAGTACAACTGTAAAAGTACAATTCTACTCATAGTTTATAGTTGTTCTCTAAAAACATAAAAAGGCTTTGGTTTTTATCTTTTGAAAGCTTACAAGTAGAATTAGGTTGTAGAGTACAAACACTTGAAGCATAAATTTTTAAAAACAAAGAATAAGATTACCCATTAGCGACGTATCCAGATAGGTTCCCTGCATCCGCAAGTGCTTTTCTCCAAAATTCAACGTTTTTGTTCTCAGACTCGTGTTTTGCAAATGCTTCCCCATATTTCCTTTTTGGATTTCGGAGCTCAGAGGGATCCATGTGATAGAAAATGGGCATAACAATTTGACCTCTCTCATCCTTGCATTTCATAATATGTGCAAGTTCTTGCAAGCACCAACAAGAATCAGCATAGCTTTCAGAGAATACGATGACAGCAATCTGTGATTCTTCAATAGCCTTCAAAAGGGATGGACCGATGATTTCGCCCCGGGGAAGTGTTTGGTCATCCTTGTATGTGTAGATTCCTTGTTGTACAAGAGCCGAATAGAGATGATCCACGAAGGTGGTACGAGTGTCTGTACCTCTAAAACTGAGAAAAAGATCATGATTCCACGATTGCAAAGAAGAAGATGAAGATGCCATTGATAGGTTGATTTGTGTAGAATGAATTGGGTTACATGAAGGTTGAGGAAGATAGATGGATGCATACGATGTGAGAGGCCACCACGGGCATCACATTTAAAAAAAGGAAATTTCCAGCCGTCAACTTTGACTTTTAACTTTAATCATTACAGCCATCGAGGATGTTTCTTTGTTGGTGCTGGTGACTTGTGAGTACCCAATAAAGACTAGGTTAACTCTTGAGAGTATTTATCAAAAATCTTAAATCTAAGTCATACAAACAAACAAAAAATAACCACAAGGGTGATGTCTTATTGGTTTGAATTTGGTTCTAAAGATCAAAAGTATTAGAATGTTTCAGGTTCAAATTCAAGAAGGAATAAAAATACCCTTGTGGCCACAGAGGTTCAAATGCGGTGACTTTGGGCAGATGGTCACCCTGGAATTAGTCGGCTCGCATAACGGGTTGGATATCCAGGTTAATCCAAAAAAAAAAAAAAAAAAAACCACAAATTGAGCTCAAACAACAAAAATCATAAATCGATTTCAAATAACCAAAATGGCAAAATACCTCGGTGAATAAGGAACGCATGTCTGGATATGGGTGACTTCATTGACGACAGGGTGTTAACAAGTTGAGTTATAGATTACTCGAGCTCGGCTTGAAAAAATATCAGCATGCGCAAGCCCGACTCAAGCTCGAATAACTTTTTTATAATAGGGCTCAAGGCCGAGCTAGCACCAACCATCAAATATATATATATATCATAAATTTCCCACTTTTGCAATTATATTCTCAAAATTTCATTATACTCCTTCCATCTCAAAATAAATGTCCACAATAAAAATGACACAGAATTTTAAAAATATGTAGTTATTACATTTTTTTAATTAACGGAATGACAATTTTACCCTTAATAATAAAGAAAAAATATTCATCTTATAATTAAGGGTAGAATGGGAAAGCAAATATTAACTTTTAAAAGTGTACACTTATTATGGAATAAACTAAAATAAAATATGGATATTTATTTCTCAGACAGAGGTAAGTGAGAGTGGAGACTTTTACTTGGTTAAAACTTACTGAATAAGAGACGTTTACCAACAACCATACTATACCATCTAGATAGTCAGGAATCTTGCCACATAAGAGATGTAATGATGTTGACTCTTATCCGTAAGGTAACCCGATTAACGTTGATAGATGCCTCCTTAGCTGATGGACACATCCATATGAAGCAACACTGGTTCTTAAAAGGAAACAAGACATCGGGTTCAAACCCATTTTGTTAAAATGTATTGTCCAATCCAATCTGGTTAGACATGCCCACCTCGTCGCAGTTACTGGACACAGACTTAGCCGGGGGATTTCGACATGTAGAGGAAATCCAACCCAGAAATGTGACTGGTTTTTTAGTTCGGTTCAGTTTTGTTGGGGGAAAAAATGTACACCAAACCATATGAGGCTGACATCTGGTTATCCGAACCAAAATAAAGTAGTTATACGCAGTCTGGTTTACTAACTGGGTAAGATTTTAGTCAACAAAGACAACATCGTATATAACAAATTTATCCGGTAAACACTAATCATGGTAAAAGACGTCACCTCACTTACCGTATAAGACTCACGGTCCTTGTTTCGCTCTTTTAGTAAAAGATTCTTGGTCATTGTCATATTCATCAAGCAAGGTAATGTGAGTAGTGAGTTGGTAAACACTTGGTAAATGAGTTCAGTTCAGTTGTGCCAGTAAAAATATGTACACCAAACTATATGAGGTGGACTTCTGGTTATCCAAAACAAAATAAAGCAGTTACTGCAGTTTGGTTTAATGAATTTACAAAAGTATCCTTTACAATAAAAGATGGTTTCAAAATGTAACATTTAAAACAATTATTTAACGAATAAATAAAAACAATCAAAACATAACAAATTAAAATTAGTTTCAATTATTTAAAAACTTTCATCCTCCAGTCAATGTCGACTCTTTCATGACTTCATACCACCAAATTTAATCATCCAGCTAATGTTTAACTGTAAAACGTAAAAGAAATTACGCATTTAACTTTAGGCGAATAAATAATGTTTAACTTTTCTACAATATCGCTCTCTGGGATCTCTATTAGTCTGGCCAATGCACTCGTCCACTCACTCATGTCTTTGTCACATAGAAAAGAACCTAAAACTTTAAGTGCTAACGGGAGCCCACCAGTTATTGAGAAGAAGAGGGAGGAGTGGAGTGAAAAGACGATGAGGAAGATGCCATTGACGGGTTGATTTGTTTCGGAGGCGGACCCATAAAGAAAACTAAACAGAAGCACTGTAAAACACAACGAAACAAAACGGTGACAGTACCGTCAAGGATCGTACGGAACCATGAAAATATTGCCATTGAAGGGTTGATTTCTATAGAATGGGTACTACGAAAAGGATGAAGAAGAAAGATTGATGTGATTTGAGTAGATGAATGAAATGAAGTGGAAATTATAGATGGATAACATATGAGAGGCCATCAGGGGCATCACATTTAAGAGGATATTCCCACCATCACCTTTGACTTTTAACTTTAATTATTAACACATCCATGGAGGAAGTTTTATGGTTGGTGCTTGTGAGTACCCAATAAACAAAAAGAGTAAATTACATTCTTTGTCCCTGTGGTTAGCACAATATAACAAATTCGGTTCCAAAAATGAAATAATTATGGATTTGATTCTTGTGGTTTGCATATTATAGAACCTTTCATCCCCTTGCTCTAACTCTGTTAACATTTTTCTGTTAAGTAGGTTAAATCATAAGGGTATTTTAGTAAATTTCTAATCTTTTAAAATAAAAAGAGCTTTCCCAAACACCAATCCGATGCCACATATCCCTCATTTCTCCCTCTTCCCCATCCATTTCTGTTGACGGAGGCTGTCTGGTGGCCACTCCAGCAATCCCTCCCATTCAAACCCATTTGAAACCATTTGTTTTCCTCAATGAAAACAACCCTCAAAAATAATTTGAAATGACACCAATACATGAACCCTAATTAATTTTACATGGACACAACCTTGTGCAAATCCATTCAACAAATATTGAGACACTAAACCAATATAAAAAAAAATCTTAAATCTAAATCATACAAACAAACAAAAATCATAAATCGATTTCAAATAACCAAATTCCCTCGGTGAATAAGGAACGCATGTCTGGATATGGGAGACTTCATTGATGGTATGGGTGTTAACTAGTTGAGTCGAGTTGTAAGTTATTCGAGCTCTGCTCGAAAAAATATTACCAGGCTCAAGCTCAACTCGAGCTCGAATAACTTTTTCATAGCAAGGCTTGAGCTCGAGCTTCTAACCATCTCTAGTACCAACGGATATATATATATATATATATATATATATATATATATATACCTTAAAATATAGAAGCAGATGTATA